TTTAATACAATCAGATAGTCCATCTCAGGTCTTTAGTTCAAATAATGCACATATTTTCCATCGGCAGTAACTCAAAATTAAAGTATATTCTTTTACATTCAAAAAAGGTAGCTTATGTAAGAACATTTGTTTTTGACAGAACACTAAATACAGGGTCAAATAGTGTGTACAAACTGGACGATGCAACTACGTTGACTGTCACGTGTGTGTAGTAGTGTTGACTTACAGGGTGGGAACGGACCAGTGGAGCGACGGAGAGGGTGGCGGCTGGTCTATCAGGCCAGGGTCCATGTCTAAGATCATCTTGAGATCCTCGTCAATGCCTATACTGAGGCTCAATCTCACATAGTCTGGTGTCCTCTCCATGCCTACAACACTCGACACTTCGCCATCGCCATGCTTACAACCACAAACAACGTCGTCTGCGGCCGACATGCGTCCAAAAATAACATGCAAGCGCCCACACATCCCCCCCTGCCCACCCCGCCACACGACCGCGCCAAAATACGAATCTTCGCTAACGTACTAACATCGCAGCGTGAATCTGTTGGTTAATTTTTCGCCACACTTTACAAGCAGCTGGTTTCTGAACTCTTTGTAGACGAGAAAGTCGTTGTTTACAGCTCCGGTAACTCGGAGCTGGAGTACGGTAAAGTCAGCGGGAGTACGGTAAAATCAGCGAGAGTACGGTAAAGTCAGCGTGAGTACGGTGAAATCAGCGGGAGTACGGTAAAGTCAGCGGGAGTATGGTAAAGTCAGCTGGAGTACGGTAAAATCAGCGGGAGTATGGTGAAATCAACGGGAGTGCGGTAAAATCAGCCGGAGGACGGTAAATTCAGCGAGAGCACGGTAAAATCAGCGGGAGTACGGTGAAGTCAGCGGGAGTACGGTAAAATCAGCGGGAGTACGGTGAAATCAGCGGGAGTACGGTAAAGTCAGCGGGAGTATGGTAAAATCAGCTGGAGTACGGTAAAATCAGCGGGAGTATGGTGAAATCAACGGGAGTGCGGTAAAATCAGCCGGAGGACGGTAAAATCAGCGGGAGTACGGTAAAATCAGCCGTACTACGGTGAAGTCAGCGGGAGTACGGTCAAATCGGCGGGAGTATGGTAAAATCAGCTGGAGTACGGTAAAATCAGCGGGAGTATGGTGAAATCAACGGGAGTGCGGTAAAATCAGCGGGAGTACGGTGAAGTCAGCGGGAGTACGGTAAAATCAGCGGGACTACGGTGAAGTCAGCGGGAGTACGGTGAAGTCAGCGGGAGTACGGTGAAGTCAGCGGGAGTACGGTAAAATCAGCGGGAGTACGGTGAAATCAGCGGGAGTACGGTGAAGTCAGCGGGAGCACGGTAAAATCAGCGGGAGTACGGTAAATTTACCGATAACTCAAAAAACAGTGTACTTAAAGTGTGTACTAAATAGTGTAATCTAATATTGTATTGACGCCTTCCAAATCTCTAAGATTTTGAATAAAGTTTTCCTGTCCGTCTGTCTGTCTGTGTTTTACTTGAGTTGTCTATTTTTCATTGGTAGTGTGGCAAAAAGTATTGTACGCAACTCATCAGGGAAGGTGTTTACGGAAAGCCTCGCTTGGTAACTATCATGCTTGTACTGTAAACAAAAACCAACTTCCCGCCTTGAAGCGTAATATATACCATCAAAGGAGGCACTGGAGGGTGAGGCAATGAAAGCGCCCCAACTTATAAATATTACAAATTCAATACTATTCGCCCTATATATACATAGCACATAAAAACACAGCTTATAATATGCCATTTTAATTTGATCAAGTAATTTTTCAATTTCTTGAAATTAACATGCTTCAAGTAACGTACGTCCTCTCCTACTTGGCATTCCTTTTTATTAGCCAAAAGATTTCGCTGAATACTTGTCCTAGCTTTTTTTCAGGAAACGCTTTAATTTCTGAGAAAATTTTTAGCTTCAGTTCAAGCAAATCTCTGGGACTAGGCTACGCTGGATAAACCTGATTGTTAAGTAACCTTAGACTGTTAAACTAAATGGAAAAATGCCTTATGGGAGATCAAACTCGCCAAAGATCTTTACATCGTCAACTTCCACCTGAAAGGTCCATTGTATACTTTATTTACACAACTCCAACAAGCTACGCCACTCGTTATAAGCTGCAACCAGATCTGCACTTCTAACTGGCAACAAATTCATTAGACCACTCAACTTTTGAACAGACCAAACGTTCCACTGAAGTACGAAGGATGTCCGCAAATAAAGGTTCACTTTGAACTCCCCTCGTGGCCGAGCGAGCTAGTTAAAAACTGAGACCGGGAACTGATGACGCTTCAAAAACTGTTGACACCTTAAACCTAATCACAAACAAGATTCATACTTGGCGGGAGAGTAGACTTTCCTTCATATCATTATTGGCTCTCATGGCGAGACTAATCGTCAGATAGGTGTGGGAACCAGCTAGAACAGAATACAGCGCTCGTCTCGGATCCAAACAAGCTCGAATACAACGGGAGGTCAACTGGGACCTGAATTTACAACAGCCCTTATAACATTGATGATAAACTATACACCATAGCGCAGCAGTTCTAGGCTCATGTTTAAGGTGCAGCAATGGAGAGAGAAAAACTAATGTAAAGTTGAAATAAAAATATAGATCAATTGAGAAATATAGGAATTGCCAACAAAAACAAAAATAAGAAGTCCATCCGGGAACCAGGATGCTGGGGAAAAAGCAGGGTGAGGGCGGCACCCCAAAGCTGACTCTAATGAAGCCTCCAGGAAGAAAGGTGTAAAGAGGGGGTGAGAGTACCTGAGACAGGATGTCTGGGGTGAGAAAAAGCGTGTGCTACCGCTATCTCCGCGTTCCGTCACCTCCGAACTCAAATCTGTCCCGCCACCTCCGAATTCTTGAGTGACCCTTATAATCCCGTCACTGCCTGCGTTGGTAGCTGTCATTGCATCCACGGCTGCGAAGCCCCGTGGATGGAAGATTTAATGAAAATTTAAACCATGGGTTAGGTTAGGTTAGTTTAGGTTAGGATAGGATAAATTAGGTTAGGTTAGGTTAGGACGGAAAGTCTTAACGCAGGTAGTAACCGAGGATTATAGGGGTCACTCTGAAATTCGGAGGTGGCGGGACACAGAGGTGGCGGGACGCGGAGATAGCGGGAGGTAACCAGAAAAAGAAGACGAGGACGAAAGAGGGAGAGAGCTCCGGTGTTTCACAGAGAGCACCAGCACCCACCTATTCGGAGACACTGTCTGTGGAGAAGATGGTTATCGCCAAATCTGAACACCCGGACTGGAAACGGACGGAAGCTAAAGCCAATAAAATCAAGGGGGAGCTGTCCAGGTGGGCCATTCTTGGCAAAGACATCAGGCTAAGCAGCTGCCATCTTGAAGGCGGAGCCTTGGTGGTTGGCTGTGCTATCGCAGCCACAAAGGATTGGCTGGTCAAGCAAGTTCAGGAGCCGAGTCCCTTCAGGGAAATCTCGCTACAGCTTGCCCCAGCCAGAGACCTTATGAAAACTGTGAAGGTATCAGGGTTTTTCCCCATTTCAACGGGGGCAATATTTATGTGCCCAGGTCTGCGTATGAGATCCCTTGGCCTATTTGAAGGGAGATCAATGGGAAGAACAGGTAACCATAGTCAAAAGGTTGTCACGGTTCACTAAGGATCTGGGATTTGACGGAGTATGAGGACCTGTGAATGAGGGTGCACAATAAGCTGTTCTAGCTGCGATGCAAACACATGGTCACTTGTAAGCCTGACCCTCTGTTAAAAAAAAAGGAAAAAAAGGATTTTCAAGAGTCGGGAGGGACAGAACTTCATTTATGTGTGTACATATTGACCAAGTAAGAAACATAATCTATATAGATCACCCACATAGTGATGTGTCTGATTATTTCAATAGGCCTACATCATTATGTATAACTTTGGTAAACAACTTCACCATTTAAATCATTGTTATTCAAGATTTTCTGTTTCAACTGAGCTAAGTGATATTTATGACCACACTCCCACGGATTCTAGCCTAATTGATTTGATATTAATTGCTATTTAGTTGTTAGATTAGAATTTTGTTTTCTTTTTGGAGTTGGATCAATAATAGGCTATTATAACGGGTGGCGCAAAAGGATGGTCGGATTTGAACTGCGAAGTATAAGTAGTTGGGGGAGGTTCGGGTCCACTACCGGCGGTCTATAAGTCAATCATGGTACCCAATTTGCAGCGATATGGTGCAGTGGACGGTCAAACACTTCATTTTAACCGTGGAACTGTTTTTTGTTTTTTTTTACAGAAACAGTGAATCTTTTATTTCTTCGTAACGGCTGTTTCAAAAACATTTTGGCGTAGCCCGGATTGGACTAGTCCCTGTTCACAGATCAAATCACGTTGGGTGACTGCATCTCGGACAAGAGGGTCCGTCGTGGTAAATCTACTACACGACAGTTACTCCACAAAACATGGAGACCGTATGAAAGTCCGCTAGGCTACGTTCTATTTATATATTTTTTTAATGGTTTTATCGACATAGCCTACTAGCAAATTTGTAAGTTACAAGGTTATTTTTTGTAATAGGGAGTTTGAAAGTGTCCAGAAACGTAAGTCAGTAAAATTTATGCGTAAAATCATTTGTGTTATATTCATTTTAAAAACGACCATCCTTTTTGCGCCACCCTGTACATTTCATGGAGTATGCTGGTATCACAGTCTCACTGCCATACAGCCATTAATTTAGTGTAGCTGGGTGAAACTATGATATCTGACGCCATTGAAATTATTGATTGTTACAATAAATATAGAATATTGGTACTTGATTAAGTAAAGTTTGTTTGTTGATCGAATTTATAATTCTATGTTTATGATATTGGAGTCAGATATCAAAGTTTGGCCTGTATCTGTCACACAAAGATTGGCAATAATTGCAAAAATTGTATGCATACACTAACACTTCCTTAAAGATAACACATAAGATGTTATTCTAGTCCACAAACTAATACCCTAAACTTACCTAGAAGAATCCACTGTTTTTGATTTTATTTCATAATAGGGTTGATTTGAAGAGTTGGAGAAAAGAATTGCCTCCGATTGCTGAATGAACTGGTCTAAGTTCACTTCATCATCGTTTATGTACTCAGCCAAGTCAAACGCTATAGAAAGATTGATTCCAGAGTCATCCATTTTATAAATTTATTTTTATTATATATATTACTGGTTTGTTTTTAATTTTTAGGTATATAATATGCTCGTTCTTAACCTCAAAATTAGGCCTAACAGGCCTGTTTAATATTTCAACGTAGGCCTAGAGTAATAGATTGGTTTGTATTGTTAAGTATATTATTATGTGCACTGAATAGAGTTTCAAGTCTCAAATAATATCTGTAATACAGTGAGGAAAAATTCAACGTTATATAAACAGCACATTTGCCTACGATACGAACCGAACCGATTAAAATAATAATCACATCACAAAGACCTACGGAGTCTGACTCACCCGTCACACTGTCACCGACCAAAGTGACATAAGCAGAAGACGAAGACCAAAACAACAACAGAGAACGATCAGCTGTGGTAAATACAGTGTAGCCACAACAGTGTAAGTTAAAAACTAAAATATCTAAATGAAGTACTGTATCTAATGACAAACAATACTAAATTGTTCACAATTATGGATTCAACTAAATTGCGAGTTATGTATTTCTCTTTTATTTTATATTTGTATTTTTTATTTGTAAAATATGAAAACTAGCTGCATAACCATTGCTAGATGTAATACCTCCATGGCGTTTTACGAAATAACAATCTTTGTTTTAAATTAAACTACTTCATAATATTGTTTCCTCTCACACACGAGTAGCATTTAAACATCGTATTTAAGGTGAAATGTATAACAAAAATGAGGTACAAGCATAAAAAGTATACCTTAGTCTTTGTTTTGATTTTGCGTTGGCAATTGCTGACAAGCTGTGGGAACCAACTGATTGTTAAACTTTGTTAACCATCCTAAGAAATTGATCTAACATATGATTGGTGCTGCTACTGAACCCCCCGTTTTAGGGCAATGGACAAAGCCTCTATCCACATTTTAGTCTCTTCAAATGTTTAAGTATTTATGTTTTTTATGTCCCACCTTCACATACTAGGACGCTAGGTTCTAGTCCGGAACTGTTTTACACATCACTTCAGGCTGGTCCTAAAGGGTCGTGTCATTATCACATGGATAAAATCTATTGGTGATTGGCGGGATTTGAACCGGCGGAAAGTATCAAGTAGTAGAAGTTTAACCTACACACCTTATTTTATATATCTCGAATACGCACAGGCAAATACAATCCCATGTAGGCTTATCCCACAAAAAAGCTAAAGGGTTTTCTAGTTTTAAAATATATTCTTAATTACATGTTTTTTATACAATGTATATGCTTTCTAATATACTTGTGTTTTTATTTCATTCATTCATAACTAATGAATGCCTGTAGTCCACTGAACAGTTCCTCCTCATGCCTCAGGAAGGTGACCGTATTATCAGATTGCCAAGAGTTGTCCTTACCTGAGAGCTCCTCACAGTCGCTAAGCCATTGACAGGCTTATCAGGAGTCTCCTCTAACCTGCCCAATTTCCTGTATATTGTCTACATCACACAGATCCATTCCCAGTTTCAGTTGCTTTTTGAACTTTCCATGATAATTGTACAATACAGGCAATGAACCATACTATTCTGCCAGTTCAGAGCTGTTGATTCACTGCTCGAATCAGCTTGTTTTCAAGTCATAACTATCAGTCTATGAGTCTAAGTATCAGTCCACAGAAAAAAAGCTAAGTTTTTTTTGGATTGCAAGACCTTCTTTGTGAAATTGCTATAATTTTAATAATGTTGTCATCGCTACCAAAATAACTGGAGTGAAAAGTGAATTGCGGTCTATAAAAATTTGTATTTTCTTTCCATGTTTATTTTAATATTGATTCCATTTCAAGGCACTACTGTTCCCAATAGTTTACAGACCTTACTATGTTAGTGAGTTCTAAGCTAAGTTATTTGTTTAACATGTCAGTCAGACTTAGAAAAACAACACACTTAAGAGTAAAGAAGCACCTGTACATATACCTGTTAACTTTGTACTAAGTGCTAATAAATATAATCATCATTAATATTATCCAAATGAATACAAAACTAAACAGTTCAATACCTTTAAAGTTCAAATGGTGCATTAGAGTTAGGGTATAATTTTGGTAATTTTAAGTTACATTTTCACGTTTAAATAATTTAATTTTAACAGTGAAAAAGCAATAGCAATTATTGCTTACTTAATTTCTGATTAAAAATTAGGTATTTAGGAAAGCAAGAGGTCATCGATGTTGTCCTGTGGGAGAACAAAGGTAAGACTAGGAGCACAGAAAACATACTACTATAACCCAGAATGCCAACCGCATGGTAAAACGCATTAAGTGTTTTGAGAGAGCTTTGCCTGTCAATTCGTAGGCAGTGCCACCAGCGTTGCCATGCACTCAGCATAGCAACGCTGGTGGCACTGCCTACGAATTGACAGGCAAAGCTCTCTCAAAACACTTAATGCGTTTTACCATGCGGTTGGCATTCTGGGTTATAGTAGTATGTTTTCTGTGCTAGGAGGTGTTCCTTGGCAACAAAGATAGAATTGGTATCAGTGTTCCTATGATAGTTCACTTTTTTCAAAGCAGATGTCATTGCCATTTCATTTTGTGCCCATAAAAAACTCAGAAAGAAGTTGAGAGATAAAAAACAATCTTTATCTACACTCTGAATTACTTTGAGTTCAACTCCAAGCTTTCCAGATAAAATATTATCTCGGTTGTTTAAAGTGCACACCAAATTTGACACTGCTACCTTCTGCATACATTGAGTGTGGACCAAACTGTTTGGAACTTTTTGTGCGTTGAAATCAAACTGCAATGTTTAAATTTATAGCTAAATAATTGTTAAAACAGATGGATTACTACTTTGAGTTTTTTTTTTTTGTAATAATTTTGTTTTGGACCAATAGAACCACCCATGTAAAAGTTCAGGTTAAGGTTTTCACTCGGTATGCCTACTCTTGCCATTCCTTTAAATATTAAAAAGCTAATGGCAATTTCAATGTTTTAAATGAAAATACCTTTTTAAGTTTAAGTGCTTAACTCTAAGTTAGCAAAAGCATAAGATGCTTCTTTTGTTTTTATTTTGTGTGAATCGTTCAGGGTTATACATATACATAAAAGTAGGCCTAGTACAGAGTAGGCCTCGGTAAGAATATATATTAGATCGGTAACACACTAGTTTTCTCAGCAAGACCAATTCAAATCCATCTTTTACTGAAACAATATTACATACAAGCATATGTTTATAAAAAACTGAACTTTACTTGGAACCAACAAACCCACATCCTGGCCATATTGGTCAACAACACACTCTCACAGCAACCTAAAGGAGTCAAGTATGGTGGATATTAGGGATTCAACGGATAACAAACTCTTTGGAATATAAACAGTTTATTATAGACTTTGTGCATATAATAAATCCTTACAGGTTTTGCCTAATGTTTTTTGAATTACTTGTATTTTACTTTACATTCAATTTAACAATTTACGTAATCTTTTTTAGGATTTTTTGAGAGGATAGCAGGCTTACCTGAATGGGAAAGAGTCCAAACTGGCACAGGAACACAAAACTTTACACTGTATACACAAAACATTAGATCACCTTATTAATACACATTTGAATCACTTTTGCCGTTTTTGGGTCCAATCCATATGGAGGGATACCATTCAGCATGCAGTAGAGGTACCGAATTGCTTTCCACATATTTATCTGCCGTTTAATATCCTGCTCCCTCTTGTGAGGCAGTTATCGTTTCAAACTGTCAATATCATCGATGCCACATTCAAGGCATCCAGCCAAAAACAATCGCTTGTCTCTTTCTGACCATTTGTAGCTGTTGTCTTCGGAACTTTCAAACCCAAACGTATTTGGAACTGTTTGAATCCTTTGGCTTCCCCTTGTTGGCTGCACTTGGACTGACGGGACATTTCTTTTACTTGTTGACTGTGAATCTGGTTGTTTTTCAGCAGTAAACCATACAACTCCTTCAGATGGATTTGAAGTTGAAGGTCTGGCTATAGACCATTGTTAAAGACCAGACGGGAGTGATCTGCACTTGTTCACTTCGTTACTTAGATTGAGACTGTCATCAACAACTTCTACAATCGAATCGAACAAGATTTGATTGAAGAAGTTTTTCATGACAGTCTCAATCTAAGTAACAAAGTGAACGAGTGCAGATCACTCCTGTCTGGTCTTCAACAATTCTCTATAGCCAGACCTTCAACTTCAAATCCATCTGAAGGAGTTGTATGGTTTACTGCTGAAAACAACCAGATTCACAGTCAACAAGTAAAAGAAATGTCCCGTCAGTCCAAGTGCAGCCAACAAGGGGAAGCCAAAGGATTCAAACAGTTCCAAATACGTTTGAGTTTGAAAGTTCCGAAGACAACAGCTACAAATGGTCAGAAGAGACAAGCGATTGTTTTTGGCTGGATGCCTTGAATGTGGCATCGATGATATTGACAGTTTAAAACGATATCTGCCTCACAAGAGGGAGCAGGATATTAAACGGCAGATAAATATGTGGAAAGCAATTGCTGTAAAAAAAATTAAAAATTAACTTTCATCAGACAACGATAATTTAAATTACGATAAAGAGAAGATTAAGAACCTCGATGAATGGATTGAAAATGTCAGTAAAAATAAAAGTAAATCAGAAGGAAGTGATATGAAGGCTTTTTTAGATTATTTCTTGATAATTGCTGAATATGGAGATCTGCCATCAGTGGAGGAATGTGGAGGAGTTGATCCCAGGGCCATGTACCGGTACCTCTACTGCATGCTGAATGGTATCCCTCCATATGGATTGGACCCAAAAACGGCAAAAGTGATTCAAATGTGTATTAATAAGGTGATCTAATGTTTTGTGTATATAGTGTAAAGTTTTGTGTTCCTGTGCCAGTTTGGACTCTTTCCCATTCAGGTAAGCCTGCTATCCTCTCAAAAAATCCTAAAAAATCTAGGCCCTTGTGCTCTATGCTACACCCTTAATTTACGTAATCTGTCTTTCAAACAATAACAATTGTGCTTTGTGTTTCAGTAAATCGAGTAAACTTTAAAGTAATGATTTGGAAGCCTTAAATATCAATATGAAAACATTTGTCTACTCCTGTCAGAATGATAAATAATAGACATAAACTACTCCAAGTTGTGACAATGATATTAGTCATATAAGAAAAACTAGGCTTAAATTCTAATATGAACCGTCAATAAAGTTTAAGTCAAGAATCAGGATAAAACATTAAGATAATACATAAAACATTGCCTACTAAGTATTGACAGTCAACAGTTGATTACGAAATATATTTCAACTTATCATCAAGAGAAAATATCTGAAATAATCAGAAAGAAAAAAAGATTCGCAATATTTTGATCAAAGTATTTG